ATCTTTTATGGGAAACACGTTCATTAAAATGTTATTTATGTTAACACGTTTGCATAAGAGTCTCCATTTGTTTCACAGTTTTGCAAAACTCTTTCACGTCTGGCTTAATGGTAGACAGCCGGGCTCTCGCGGCTGCTTCTGCATCTGCTGCAATGTCACACAGACCACGCAGCTCCGGAGAGAATGCGAGGGGGAGAGGCACAGCATAGCATGTCTTGGTGTGAAAATAGTTTTGATCCCTTGGATTCCTGGAAAAAGGCCTCAGGGACCCTCAGCAATTGCCCTGACTACACAGGCATTCCAGCTCCCAGAGGAATGGAAACAATATCAAGACCCACAAAGTAGCCAAAACCGGTTTGGCTCAGCGGTAGAGCGTCAGTCTGCGGACTGAAAGGGCCCAGGTTCGATTCCGGTCAAGGGCATGTACATTGGTGTGGGCACATCCTCGGTAGGGGGTGTGCAAGAGGCAGCTGGTTGATGCTTCTCTCTCATCGTCGTTTCTAGCTCTCTAGCTCTCTCCCTTTCTCTTTGTAAAAAAATAAATTAAATATTTAAAAATAATAATAATAAATAAAAAGACCCACAGAGTGCTCGTGGGACGACACAGGGCACAAAAGTTTTCCAAACCCACAGACTTTTAAATGTGTCCACTGCTTAAATGGCCACATCCAGAGGCCCAGTAGCAGATGGAGACAGCCCAGACTTGTGACCTGGACAGCTTTTTGTCCTTGCCTGTCCTCCTTCCCCAGCACCGAGCAGGAAAGGGTGCCACTGTCTCCCCATGCCCACTGAGGGTCCGCAGAGAGTACCCAGCATGGGAGAACTGCAGCATGTCCACATCTGTGTATGAGCTGGAAATGCAGTCTGCCTCCCTGGTGCCTCCTCTCCACTGTTGATAAAACTAATGGAGCCCTGGCGACTGAATTTCCAAGTGTAAAAGGAAAGCAGGGCAGTGATCAAACTAAGGTATAAACCATTGCTCACGGGTGTGTATTTACCCCCTTATACACATTACCCAGACAGCTAGTCCAGAGAGGGGCCACGGAAATTATTTTTCTTTAATCCTCAGCCAAGGGCATGTTTATTGATTTGAGGGAGGATGAGCAGGAGGAGGAGGAGGAGAAGGAGGAGGAGGAGGAGGAGGAGGAGCAGAGGAGAGAGAGAGAGAGATCGTAGGTTGCCTCCCGTACATGCCCCAATGGGGAATATACTACACAACCTAAGTATGTGCCCTGACTGGGAATCGAACCCCCAAACTTTTGTTGTATGGGGTCAACACTCCAATCCACTGAGGCACCCAGCCAGAGCCTACAGAAATTCTTATTTGCAATTTGAAGCCACAGAATTTTATCAGTTCATTGGCTAAATATCACAGATGGTGAAAATGTTGCATGGTTTCCCTGGGTGGTGCTTAGAAAATTAATTCCTATTCCTCTACATTTGCAAAATTGCAGACTAAAAAAATCTAGACACCTACACACCCACATAGAAAATCTAAATGCTCAAGTGGAATGTAAGTCCCTTGAGCATCCATTTTTCCTGTATTCCATCTCCCCGAGCCTAGAACTGAGCCAGGTACAGAGGAGGCACTCAGTGTAGGTTAAATGATTTCAAATTAGATCTTGTTGAGGTGTGATTCCACCTGTGAACAATTATTTACAGTGAACAATTATTTCAAAGTAATATGTGTTTTGTTTTGACCCATCATACTGTCGTAGACAAATATGTTTTCTCTTTAAGCAGTTCAGCAAGAGCACATCTATGATACTAATAAAGCTGAGTTAATTTAGTCAATTCTATCTTCTACTTCCAGATCACAGCTGGTAATATAAGGCCCTTACAAACCACCTCATCGCCCTTCTCACCACCTCCCCAGTGTTCCTTCTTCACAAATAAAGGCCCAGGGAGGGGAGGGGACTCCTGGACCACTCCTGGACTAGTTACTATCAAAACTGGGGCCAAAAGCATGGCTAACCCCAAAGTCTTTGTGCTGTCACTCAAAGCCATTTCGAGAGATTTTTATCCAATCCCCTTCCCTCCAATCTGTCCCCAGAGGAAGCCTAAGTGACAGCCTAACCTTGTCAATCACCTATGCAACAGATGACTTACTTGTGACTGAAGAATAAGACAACCTTGGAGAAATACCTGGAGCAAGTGGGCTGGAGAGGTGCCTGACCCGCTGGTGGCCCCGTGCCCTGCCTCCAGCCTCTGATTGGCTAAAGCACATGTGTCAAACACAAGGCCCGCGGGCCAAATCCGTCCCGCCAGGCCTTGCAATGTGGCCCGCACCGCGCTGTCATCACTGCACTCCGCTGCGTTTCCATCACAATGACAGTTTATGACTGTTCAGTAAACCATTCGGCCCGCGATTTAGGCTGGATTTTAGATTTTGGCCCCTTTTCTGATAGAGTTCGACACCCCTAGGCTAAAGGGAAAGCCTCTGGCCACGCCCCTCGCCCTCTAGTGTATTTCCATGAATGGGCTCTGGGACAAAGCTCTCCCCAGGCCTCCTGAAAACCTCCCTATGTTGCCCCTGCCCACCTACTGCCTTTCTACAGAAACTGGTTTGAACATGACTGTGGTCTACAAGGTCTCACAGGACTTGACCCCTGTCCCCGCTCCCCGAGCTCAACTTGTACCACCTTCCCCTTTCTCCGGCCACCTGGCCTTTCCTCTGTGCATTAAAACGGGCAGGCGAGGGTGTTTTTCCCAGGTATTCACATGATCGCAGCCTTCTTGTCCACCTTTATCTCCGCTCGGTGTCAGCTCATCAGAAAGGCCTCCCAGCACCCTCTCTACAGCAGCCGCCTGTCCTGTCACTCGTCTCAGGTCACCCTGTCTATTTCCCTCAGGGCCCTGTCACACTATCTGAGAGGACTTTGTTGTTCCTGTGAACCGCCTGCCTCTGCCCTGAGCTCCGAGAGGACACGGAGCTCTAATTCACCTCTAATCTCCGCGTCCCTGGCACTAAACTGGAGCCCGGCAAGTATTTGTCATATGAATGAACAAGTGAATGACCACACACACACACACACACACACACACACACAATGTGCAATAATGCGAGTATACCTTTGCCGACCAGCGGAAGCAGCAAATGGGTTCTCTGTGCAGGGAGCATTGCTGGAGGCGTTGGGGTCTATACTCATTTCCCTACAGAGAACGTAAGTCAGCCACAGAACAGGCAAATCCTGCCCGCCTTAAGAGAGTACATGTGGTTCTTCCCAATTTTTACACGTTTAAAAAGGCTTGCCAAAATCCATGGATGCATTTTCAGGTAAAAAATATTGCCGGGACCGGTTTGGCTCAGTGGATAGAGCGTCGGCCTGCGGACTGAAAGGTCCCGGGTTCGATTCCGGTCAAGGGCATGTACCTTGGCTGCGGGCACATCCCCGGTGAGGGGTGTGCAAGAGGCGGCTGGTCAATGTTTCTCTCTCATTGACGTTTCTAACTCTCTGTCCCTCTCAATTCCTCTCTGTGTAAAATCAATAAAATATATTAAAATATATATATATATTTTGAGGCAGCAGACCCTGGTTTCAGGACCTGAGATCCAATTAAGCACCAGCAACTCGTTAGCCATGTGACCTCGGCTAAGTCGGTCTGATTCCTAGCCGTGTGCCCCTTCCATCCTTAATTTTCTCACCTGTAAAGTGGGGATAGTAACCGTTTGCATAAATCACTCATTGTAAGCACTCAACATACTAACGATTGTCATAAATGATGGGATTACCAATGGTATACTAGTACATGCCTTGTAAGGTTATATAACAAGTCCTCTTTGGTTTTGATTTGAAACTGTAACATCCTTGCCAAAACCGGTTTGGCTCAGTGGATAGAGCGTCCGCCTGCGGACTGAAAGGCCCCGGGTTTGATTCTGGTCAAGGGCATGTACCTTGGTTGCGGGCACATCCCCAGTAGGGGGTGTGCAAGAGGCAGTTGATCGATGATTCTCTCTCATCGATGTTTCTAACTCTCTATCCCTCTCCTTTCCTCTCTGTAAAAAAATATTTAAAAAGAAAAAGAAAAAGAAACTGTAACATCCTTTACAGGAGCCCACACCCAATTCCCCTGGAAACACATTTGGCTCTTTGAGACCCTTGCCTTTGTGTACACCAGGCCGCTCCCTGGAACGTCCCCCTTTCTCTATCAAGATCCCTCTTGGGGGAAACCCCACTCCCACTCCCCTCTCAGCCAGTCAGGTGGCACGGCCTAAGAGTCACAACTCTCTTGAGTGACAGCCACAGAAAAGCCCCCGGGAGCCAGTGAGCAGAGCGGGGAACACTACATGAGGATGCCGGGGTCCCGCAGAGCCCAGGGGCCTCAGAAACCACCTGGAGCCGAGGAAGGGGGGCCTCTGGGGAGTTCTTCCTTTTTCCTCTCGGAGCCTCGGCTTCTGCTTTTTCTCTTGCTGCCAACTGGCGTTCTGTTGCCCGTCCCCGTGACAGACAGCGGCTGTCATCCACGCTCCAACGCCCACATCTCAGGGTGGAACTGAGATCTCCTGGTCCCGGCCCACGTGCGGTCTTCTGCCTCCAGCACGCCACTGAGAGGCCCGTGGCCTCCCATCCGAGCGCCAACCCAGCCGACCTCGCTTCGCTTCCGAGATCGGAGGCGATCGGGCGTGTTCAGAGCGGGGAGGCGTCCAGGGGGGACACTTCGTAAAGGATTGACCGCTGTGCTGACAACAAAACAATGTGGACGGTAGACTGTAATTGAAAGTTAAATAAATAAATGATTTTTTTTTTTTTAAAGATTGCTTTTGGCAAGGTGCCCTTGGTGATTGCCTTGTCAAATCCAGAGGATGCTTTTCCTTTCCCAGCTGATGCTCTGGAGCAGTGGTCGGCAAACTGCGGCTCTCGAGCTGAGGTTTGCCACTATGTTCACTAATAAGTTTGCCAACACTAACCTAGACTCTTGATTCCAATCATTACAGGCTGTTGTTGTTCCTTGTGGTTAAGCCCCTATCCCAGTGGTGGGCAAACTCATTAGTCAACAGAGCAGCAAACGTGGCTCTCAAGCCGCAAGTGGCTCACAAGCTGCAGTTTGCCGACCACTGCTCTGGGGCATTTAACCCCCTGACCCCAGTGCCTTGAAACATTCTTCTGCGTTGGCCTCTGTGACACCATGCTCTCCTGGCTCCCTCCGGACCCTTGTGTTCCTTCCCTCTTGGTCTGCAGGCGGGACTCTTTGCACTCAGCCTGGGAGTATTGGAGTTCCCAGGGCCTCACCCTTTCTCTGTGCACTTTAAAGGCTCATACATCCCCTGCTCTCCCACACCCACTCTGGGTTCCTCTCACCTTTCAGGATGTAGACAGACCTTCCTCCCCGCCACGGGGCCGTCCCCCTCATTGAGCTTGACTTGTGACTAGATACTGTGTTTTGTATGGCAGGGAGCTCAGAATGCGATCTCAGAGTTCCTAGTAAGTGCTTGTAGGTTTTGTGGCTTTGGTTGCCTGTACCTGTCACCAGGAGGATGCAAGGACTCCTGTCATTACCGTTACCCGGATACGATCCTGGTCCCCTGTGGGAGGGCGGCTCTGACCTTAGTGAGCCCAACTCTGGCACCCCCAGATCAGGCCAGAGGGGTGGCAGCGGGGGAAGACGGTGCGAGGTGAGCTCGCTGGGTAAGCGCAGATGCAGTCAGCAGAACCCATGGCCCAGGGAAGGACCAAGACAGATTCCTGGGGGAGGCGAGCCTTCCTGAGACTTTCCCAGTGTGCTGGGCCCCTCTCTCCCTGGGCCCCCGGCCTGTGGTATCAGAAGGGCCTGTGCTGAATCACGGAATTTAACTGTTAACCGCCACCACCCCAGCAGCACCAGCAGCATAGACCCTTGCACCCCAATCTCAGCTCCGAGCAGGTCGGAATCCTGGCCTAGGCAGTGCTGGGCCGACTGGAAGTGCCGCCTACCTGAAAGGAGGGGGCGGTACGGCTGTGGGTGATAAGGTTTAATGAGCATCTGAGCATCCGGTCCCTACTTTTAGCAGACAGCATCGGGGCGGAGGCCCCCGGCCCACTCCCCGTGGTCATCCCCGTCCCGCAGCGGGATGGACTTCCTCATGTGCACGCACAGCACCTCGTCGATGTAGATGGTGTTCTCTTTGACGTGGATCTCCTCCTGCAGGGCGAGCTGCCGGCGGTTCAGCCCCTTCAGCTCCATCTGGGCCTGGGCTAACGTCTCCTGCAATCTGGGGGGAGAGGAAGAGCGTGAGGGGACCAGTCATCCCTCCACGTGGCTTTGGCAGGGGGGGCGGGGGGATGTGTTCGTGAGCTCCTTGCCGAAGCCCAAGGGGTACGTCCTTCTCCCTGTCTCCTCCTCAAGACAGAGATTTCTGATCTGTGGCCACAGGCCAGATTCACAAGATGGACAGCTCCACGACCTGCCAACATTTAAAGCTGTGTGTTTCACCCAAACATCTGGATTTGGGCTTTAGAAACATTCAAACACGGGTGTCCCTTTCCTGCATGGCAGCACCTGGCCGCAGTTAACAAGGAACCCCTTGACTGTCCTCCAGAAAGGAACCCTCACGGATTATAGATGCAAAAGTGCTCACGCCCGGCAGGCTTCCCCCACGACGGCATCGCCCAGCCCTGTTCTCAATCCGGGTTCACGCGGAACCCCAGCGGCCCTCCACCTCCCGGCCGCCAGCCTATTACCTTGCAGTGTTGTGGGTGATCTCATTAACCTCCCTCAACAGCCTGTACTGGGCCATATCGCGACACAGCTCCACGTTGGGCCGGCATGTCCTGGTCCCCAGGCGTGTATGAGCCACCTTGGCAGGCCCTTCTTGGTCCAGGATGGCTTTTTCGAGAGACGCGATATTTTTCTCCTGGGAAGCAATCTCTTCCATGACCTTACAGAAAGGATCGGAGAGGGTGAGACTGGGCTGTGGCTCCTCAAAACCCAACAGCAGACACTCTCAGGAGGCCTGTTGGGGTCATGGAAGCTAGGAAGAGGGGATCTGAGATTTCTGCCCAAGCAGGGCCCCAGAATGAGTCTGATCTCCCCTCCCTACAGCAATGAGTGCTGGTGGTAAGGCAACTCAGCCAACCTTGGAACCTCGCAGATGGAGCGGGCATGACTGGCACTGTCCCCGCATCTCCTTCCAAAATAATGGGAGTTCCCTGGAGAAGGCCCTCAGTAACAGCAGAGGCTGCATGTTCACCTTGTTACTAAGTACCATGTATCCTGAGCAGATGGCCGCCTATTTCCATCAATCCGGCAACTAGCACCCATTCTGCTCCCTAGCAGCCTGAAGGGTGAGCAGTTCAATATGAGTTTTGCTGATTTCTTTGAAGGTGGCTCTGTGCACAGAAAAGATTACTTAGATGTTACTTGGGTTTTTAGATTAATATCTAACTAGTTTAAATTTTTGTTTCTTTCTTAAGCTTAAAAAAAAATCTTTACATCATAGAATTTTCTAAACATACACAAAAGGAGCTGATATAATGAACCTCGGGTACTCATCAATTTAATCAATGATGGATACATGGCCAATCTTGTTTCATCTATAATCCCCTCTCTCCGTCCCTGCCCATCAGCTTATTTCAAAGCAAATCTCAGATATTATATCATTCCAGTCTTAAATACTTGAGTGTGTATTTCTAAGCTATAAGGATGCTTTTATTGTTTTTAACATAATGATAGTTCCGTTCTCTCTCACACACACACTCAGATTTTCCTGATTGTCCCATATTTTTTTAAAGAGTTGGTTTATTCCAATGAGAATGCAAATGAGATCCACACATTGCATTTTGTTTACTTCAGCCTTTTTTTTTTTTTTTTAACATTTCTTAAGGTTTTCTTAAGTTCAGTCCTCAGAGTATATTATTTTTAAATTTAGCAAACGATAACCATCACTTTAAATTGACTTTGATTAATAGTTGCTCCAACTTCAAGCTTAATTAAAATCCTTCAAATACTTATTTAAAGCATCATTTGTAAGTTTGATATATCATATAGTTTTTATAAATTTGATATAAAACTGTTAAAAACTATATGAGTCATCTTAGCAAACAAGGCTTTCTGCGGTTCTTAAAGACCTTGTTAATCTAGTAAACTAGTAAAACTGATTCCTCGTAAATTCTCAAATATTTTAACACTGTCTTCAAACTTAAAATTTCAACTAAAATCATAATTTCATTACAAATTTTGTTACGATTTTTTTAAAACAGGCCAAATTTTCTTAAATTTTACAAATACTTAAAATCTATTAAGTGCACAGATTCCTTCAAACAAAACTACTAATGCTATGGGTTAGATCAGGAGTCAGCACACTGCAACCCAGGGGCCAAATGCAGTCTGGTTTGGTACAGACTGTTTTTATACAGACTGAAATAAGAATGTTTTTTAATTAATGGACTTTAGTTTTCTGTTTGTTTTAATCTTCACCTGAGGATATGATTTTTTGAGAGAGAGAGGGAGAGGGAGAGGAGAGAGAGAGAGAGAGAGAGAGAGGGAGAGGGAGAGGGAGAGGGAGAGGGAGAGGGAGAGGGAGAGAAATATTGCCCTAACAAGTTTGGTTCAGTGAATAGAGTGTTGGCCTGTGGACCGAGAAGTCCTAAGTTCAATTCTGGTCAATGGCAGGTACCTTGGTTGAGGGAACATCCCCAGTGGGAGGTGTGGTGTGCAGGAGGCAGCTGATTGATGTTTCTAACTCTCTATTCCTCTCCCTTCCTCTCTGTAAAAAAAAAAAAAATCAATATTTTTTTTAAAAAAAAAAGAGAGAAATATCAATAGGTTGCCTCTTGTACGGGTATTGAATCCACTACCCATGCATGTGCCCTGACTGGAAACAGAATCTGCAACCTCTTGGTGTATTAGACAACGCTCCAAACAACAAGCCACCTGGCCAGGGGTATGGACGTTAGTTTTTAGAGCAATTTTAGACTTTCAGCAAAAAGGAACAGGAAATATAAAGTTCCCATATACCCTCTCTCCCCCAACACAGATCCCCTGTTATGAGCATCTCCCATTAATGTGGTACTTTTGTTACAAGGAACCAATCTTGTATACATTATTATTATTAACTAACGTTCATAGTTTACATTAGGGTTCAGTCTTTGTACTGCACATTCTATGGATTTTAACCAATGTATGCCCTGTATTCACCGTTACCGTATCATACAGAGCAGGTTCCGTGGCCCTAACAAATCCCTGAGCGCCTCCTTTTCCTCCCTGCTCCCCACCCCACCCCCCACCTGAAGCCCTGACGACCACGGGCCTTTTTACTGTGTCCAGGTGTCAGGTAGTTGGCATCATGTGGCATGGATTTCAGATTGGCTTCTTTCATTTAGCGATACGCATGCAAGGTTTCTCCGTGTCCTTTTGCAGCTTGATAGCTCATTTCTTTTTGTCACTGAATAATATTCCATTGTATGGGTGTAGCACAGTTTGTGTACCCATTCCTCTATCAAAGGACATCTGGTTGCTCCCAAGCTTTGGCAATTATGAATAAAGCTGCTCGGCATTCATGTGCAGATTTTTGTGCAGACATAAGTTTTCAACGCGTTTGGGTAAATACCACGGAGCGAGCTTGCTGAATCACACACGCCTGTCTCTGTTGTAAGGAGCTGCCAGACTGTCTTCCAAAGTGGCTGCACCGTTTGGCACACCCACCAGCGATGAGAGTGCCTGCTGCTCCGCATCCCCGCCTGGCATTGTCAGCATGTGGGATGCTCTGTGGCAGCTCGTTGTTTTAATTTGCAATCCCAGGGGACAAAGGCTGTTGAGCATCTTTCCATGTGCTTCATTTCCATCTGCGTATCTCCTCTGGGGAGGTGCCTGTTTCCATCTTTTGTCTTTTTCTCTTGGGCTGTCTTCTTATTGTTGAGTTTCAAGAGTTCTTCCTCTATTTTGGATAACAGTGCTTTATCTGTGGCTTGTCTTTTTAGTCTCCTTTTCTTTTCTTTTCTTTTTTTTTTGTTTAAAGAGGGAAGGCTGAAGCCAGTTTGGCTCAGTGGATAGAGCATCGGCCTGCGGACTGAGAGGTACCGGGTTTGATTCCGGTCAAGGGCATGTACCTTAGTTACAGGCACATCCTCAGTGCGGGAGGCAGCTGATCGATGTTTCTCTCTCATTGATGTTTCTAACTCCCTCTCCCCCTCTCTCTTCCTCTCCATAAAAAAATCAATATATATATATTTTTAAAATAAAATTTTAAAAGGGGGAGGGGTACATTTTTTTATTGTCTAAAGCACATGTGTCAAACACAAGGCCCGCGGGCCAAATCCGTCCCGCCAGGCCTTGCAATGTGGCCCACACCGCGCTGTCATCACTGCACTCCGCTGCGTTTCCATCACAATGACAGTTTATGACTGTTCAGTAAACCATTTGGCCCGCGATTTAGGCTGGATTTTAGATTTTTGGCCCCTTCTCTGATTGAGTTCGACACCCCTAGTCTAAAGTGTTACATATGTCTCCTTTCTTCCCAATTGACTCTCCCTGCAGCCATTCCCACCCGGGGCAAGCCCCCACCGTCCCAGTGTCTGTGTCCACTGGTTATGCTAATATGCATGCATACAAGTCCCTTGGTTTGCTCTCTAAAGGGGGACTGGAGGGGTTACATTTTTAAATAGCTGAAAAATGAAAAAATAATAATATTTCATGTCATCTGAAAATCACGTAAAATTCAAATATTGGTGTCGACAATAAAGTTTTAGTGGGGCACAGCCATGCCCATTCATCTGTATGGCTGCTTTCAAACTACAGCATCAGGGTGAGACGTGGCAGCAGAACGCACGTCACCCTCTCCGTGCTTTGCACTGTTGTCCAGGTGACACGGTTCTGACGACAGCTTCCCAAGCGCTGCGTGTATCACCAGGCAGTTTTTATTTATTTTTTTTAATGTATTTTATTGATTTTTTTACAGAGAGGAAGGGAGAGAGATAGAGAGCTAGAAACGTCGATGAGAGAGAAACATCGACCAGCTGCCTCTTGCACACCCCCTACCAGGGATGTGCCCGCAACCAACATACGTGCCCCTGACCAGAATCGAACCTGGGACCTTTCAGTCCGCAGGCCGACGCTCTATCCACTGAGCCAAACCTGTTTCGGCACCAGGCAGTTTTTACCCACCGGCCCATACCCGTCAGGTCCAAACAAGAAAACCGGGCTGCGTGCGGTGCACTTTTAAGGCCTGTGACGTGCTACGGCACGCGTCATCACCAGACCACGCTCCGTCATGCTAGCCGCAGCTGGCAGGAGAGCAGTGGTCAGAGAAATTAGGCATTCAAAACAGAATATCTCATCACCGCAGAATCTCTTTGCAAAAAAACGAAAAGGAGGCTGCAATCAAAGTCAGGTTCCAAGCGTCTCATTTGTCAGCCAAGCAAGGAAAGCCGTTTACTGGTAACAAACTAATTAAAGCATGCTGGCTGCAGCTGAGGGAGGGTGTCCAGAGGACATACAGTTGTGTGTTGTTGGTCTTTCTGCAAAAACAGCTGCTTGATGCGTGCGGGGCCCTGGGAACAGCATCAGCAGCCGACGGGAAAACAAGGCGTGTTTTGTTTGGGGTGGTCTCCTTGCTCTTCGCCAGCTGGCAGGGGTCCTGACGCTGCTCGGTGGTTCGTTCGAGGGGTCGGTGCTGAGTTTGAAGGGACTGAAGGACCAGCCTCCACGAATGTTCGCACGAAATAACTGCAGGCGGGGACATTTCCAAAAAGTTGAGAAAACACTAATTCTCAGACACAACCAGGAGTGGAATCTGCTAAAAAGTGCCGAAGCTGAGGATGTACATGTGTGTGGGGAGCAGAAACGGCTTAGGGGAACACGTTCACAGAAGTGGAGCAGATGTGAGCTCTTGACAGCTCTAATAATTCACTGTGCTATTCGCCGGAAAGGACTTGGCAGAAAAGATCTGAATTCATCGAGTGTCATTGCACCAGTATCATCCGCAGTGGACATCGTTAGCTCTCATCATAAGTTCGGTGAATCTTTGCCGGGAATAGAAGCTGAATATCCTGACTTGCTGTCCTCCTCAGCAATTGATCAGTGGTGAAATTTTCGTGTCATTTATTGTGAGCTCAGGGCCATGACTGAAATGTTTCTGAACAAGAACCACTCCCTTCCCCCATGAAACTGCTACTACAAAACACTGAATAGGGCCCTGGCCGGTGTGCTCAATGGTTAGAGTGTCGTCCCACACACCCAAGGACCTCAGGTCAAGGGCACATACCTAGGTTTCAGATTTGATCCCGGGTCTGGGCTCATGCATGAGGCAACCGATCAATGTTTTTCTCTCTCATTTGGATGTTTTTCTCTCCCTCTCCCTTTCTCTCTGGAATCAATAAAAAATAAAAAAATTAAAAAAGTCCTTGGGTGAGGATTAAAAAATAATAATCTATAATAATAAAAGTGTAATATGCTAATTAGATCGGATGTCCTTCCTTCCAGACAAAGCCGCAGCTGGCAGGGGCCTAGGCAGAGGTGGCAGAGGCCCCACCGCCATGGTGGCGGAGGGCTGCGGCCGGGGCCAGGGCATGGGCCAAGGCCCTTGCATGAATTTCATGCATTGGGCCTCTAGTAAATAAATAAAACACTGAGTAGCTTTGCAAATTCATTTTTGCTGCAGACTTAGTAATACTATGTCCTTTTTGTTGTTATTGTTGTTAATCCTCACCCAAGGATATTTTTCCATTAATCATCAGACACAGTGGAAGAGAGGGAGAGAGACACACCAATGTGAGAGAGACACATCGATTGGTTGCTTCTCACATTGAGCCTGCCACCAAGGTACTTGCCCTTGACCAGGATAGAACCCAGGACCCTTCAATCCATGGGCTGACACTCTCTCCACTGAGCCAAACCAGCTAGGATGTAATAATAAATCTTAATGAATCCCACCTGCAATCACAAAGCAAGAGAGCACTCCCATGCAGAGCTCATACTGTGGTAACGTCATTTCAACACTAACGTGGTTTGAATCACAAGTCTTGCCAAGCTGTGCTGTCAAAAGTCAAAACAAGAAGCAAGACCTCCATTACCACACAGATGTGCAGCAGATATAGTTCCCAAGTGCCAGCAGTGGTGGTTGTTTTTTTTGTTTTGTTTTGTTTTTGGGTTGTTTTTTTGTTTTTTGTGTTTTTTTTTTGGGGGGGGGGAGAATGGGGAGAAAAGCAGACCCCAAAACAAGTGCAAAGGAATTTCCACATTTCAAAATCCACTTAATTGTGCAACTGAAGAGCTTCTACAGCGAGGGATTAATCCGAAATGTAATGACATGCTAACAGGCCAGTATCGGGAAAAGAAGAGAAACAGAATTCTGTAAACGCCTTCCAAGCAATGAGTGGATCCAATTAAAATCGTGTGCTCACAGATTGTTATCAGTACTTGGCAGGACTATTTAAATGGAAGACATTTCCCCAGATGAAATGTATAAAATCTCATTACAGAACAGCATTCACAGATGAACATTTGCAACAGATTTTGATAGGAAGCACGGCCACAGTATAACCTTTGATTGCACTCTGGCTTGTCCTGCTCATCGCATAAATAAATCCTGACAGCCTGGCTCTGGTTCCAGGAGGGAGAGGTACGAATGCGGCAGGAGGACGAGGCTTTGGGGTTGAGCAGGCCTGGGCTCTAGTTCCAGGTGCGCCTTGCCACCTGGGGTCCCTTCCTCTCTCTGCATTTCACCATCAGCAAACTGCCAGAGGGGGGCCATGTTACAGGTGAGGCACGACGCTCAGAGCTAGAGGGCTCGGCAGGCCTGTCACTCGGCTGGCCTATCACTGGGCTGGATCTGGGCCCACATATCCAAAACTAGCACATGTCCTACTAGACAAAGGTGACCAGACGTCCCGCTTTTGACGGGACAGTCCCGCCAAAAGCGGGACGTCTGGTCACCTTACACTAGACTCAACTTCTCAGCTACCCTGAGTTTATCCTGTGGGATCGTCATCTATGCTCGGGACACCGGGTCCTTGCGGTTGGGAGGTATACTGGAGCGGGCTCACGTGGGCTCTGATGATTACGTACTCAGGAACTTTGCCAGACCATCGTTAAACGAGCAGCTGCAATCAACTGTGATGAAAGTATTCACACCATGGAGACCTACAAATTCAGCAAACTGGGGATTTTTTAATTTATTTAACTTTATCATCTTTTATTCCAACATAATATTCATTTTTTTAATTTAAAAATCTTTATTCTTTAAAGCATTATGTATGTCTCCTTTATCCCCCATTGACCTCTCCTTGGCCATTCCTCACCCCCTGCCCCCCAGCACATGCCCTCAGCACCCCTACTGTCTGTGTCACGGGTTACAAGCTGAGGACTTTATTTCTCTGAGAGCCAGTTCGCCAGCACACCACTGGAAGACTGAGGTGGACGACCAGCCAGAATCCCGAAGTTGTAGCTGGGTTTAGAGAAACTGGGTGCGTTCAATTCACAGAACTTCAGGGTCATAAATGAAGTCTGAGACCATATAGTCCATCCCCATATTTCACAGAAGGGGAAACTGAGGCCCCGAGGGAGGAGACAGCCTGTCCTTTGCTGTCATGAGTGGCAACGGAGCCCAGAGTAGGTCCAAGTCCCACTCCAATCCCAAAAACCCAAACCCTGCTGCTACGATGGAGAGATGTGAATGGCCCTTACTCCTCAGTTAACCCAAGACCACAAGCAGAAGGCAGCAGCCTGGCCCAGCGGCCACTGCAGGCTCCCCGGGGAAACCTTCGCAGGGGCTCTTCCGTGTCCCCTGCAGGGAGCTCACCTTGGCCAAGTGATCGGCCAGCTTGTCCCTGGCATCCTTGGTCTCCTTCAGCCCGTTCTTCAGCGCCGTATCCACCACGTCACATTGCTTGCGCAGGTCACTGGCCGTCTGGGACAGGACGCGGTCCACCAGGGACTTCAGCATCAGGGAGTTGTTCCTCTGCTTGTCAGCCTTCTCCACATTGGCGTTGGAGAAGTCCAGCCAGTCTTCCAGGCTCACAGAGCTGAAACAGATCCAGGCATTCTGAGGGTCTGGGCTGGGAAAGGGGCGCAGAGAGGGGAGCTAGCCCTACCTTTACCCGCAGAAGCACCTAGAACGAGCATGTCAAACTCAAAGGCTAACACAGGCCAAACAAACAAGGTGTAAGTGTATGTGGGTTGCAAAAAAATAAAAGCTTTGCCAAAACTGGTTTGGCTCAGTGGATAGAGCGTCGGCCTGTGGACTGAAGGGTCCCACGTTCGATTCCGGTCAAGGGCATGTACCTTGGTTGCGGGCACATCCACAGTGGGGGGTGTGCAAGAGGCAGCTGATCGATGACTCTCTCTCATCGATGTTTCTAGCTCTCTATCTCTCTCTCTTCCTCTCTGTACAAAATCAATAAAATATATTTTTTTAAAAATAAAGGCTTCAATTTTCATAGAAACGTAGGTTTATTTCGATAGAGACATGCTGAATACAAAGGGCTGAAATAAATGAGCAATTGTTAACATAATAGAACATTTTAATAAAAATCAATTATTTTTTCTTGAACATTAACTTACCAGACAACTGAATAACTGCACAAATTAATGAGCGTAATACAAATAAACCTATTTTTCTTGTTCTCCGAAAGCGAAGTATTTCCTGTTGCGCACACCAAACAAGTCAGTCCAAGACTAATGACGTGGCCATCGGCTGCTAAAATATTCGCTGCCAGTATGAGTGGGGAGAAATGGTGCGCCTGGACATTTAAAACCATCTGGACACCAGGTAAGGCGCGTTGGAAAATGAATGCAACATGATGATAGTAATCAGTCATCAGCGAATGTTGTAGTTCATTATTAATAATTATTATAACAGGATATTGTAAAAATTAAGTTATGAAACTTTTATGACCAAGTTTTTTACATACCGTTATATTGTCTGGGCCACAAAAATACTCATGTGGGCTGCATGCGGCCCATAGCCCGCCAGTTTGACATGCTTGGCCTAGAATGTTTCTTCATCTCCAGGCAGAGCGAACAGTAATCTGTCAGTGGCAATAGATGTCACTTTGGGGAGACCTACCTACCCTATGCCAAGCAATGTGCTGGCGTTTTACAGACATTATCTCACTTAATCCGCATGAGGGCCTAGTGAGCTAACTTTCATAACCCAGTTTCACAGAGGGGGAAAACCGAGGCTCGGCAAGAGGGAGGAACTTGGTCAAGATCACACAGGTAGAGACAATCTGAAGTAAAAATAATAGCAACAGATTAGAACACACCGAACAAAACAGGATACCAGGAGTCCATACTAATATAAATTGCTGGTTTGATAAGGAACTGCTTTATATAACAACACTGATCAATCTCAAAATAATGCTGATTGGGAGAAAGGTGACAAAAATAGGTAGTATATGATGCTATTTAATAATTGTAAAAGCAGACAAATCGGTCGGAAGTCAGGATGTGGTCATGTTTGGGGAGGAAAAGGGGGGACTGGCCAAGAAGGGGCAGGATAGGGGTTTCTGGGTGGTGGTGGTGCTTCCTTTCTTGCCCTGGCTGGTGGTTTCATGGGGGTTGTTCACCGTGATAGCCTGCTGTGGGGATGAGGCACTCGGCCCTGCCACCCTGCCTGCCTGCCTGCCTCCTGAGCAGCAGGGGGGGAGTGGGAGGGGGGCGGCCACTAGGTGGCAGGGAGGAGCACAGCGTGGCCAGGCCAGCAGGCAGGGACCCACTCACTTTGGCTCAACCCTCACGACATTCTCCGAGTATCTGATGTTTGGCGAGTTGTTGTTGAGGGAGAAGCAGATGTCATCGATGGTCAGGGCCACAAACTTGTCTTTCAAATCCTTTTCGAGATAGTACTTGGCAGAGCGGTTCAGCCTGAAGGGAGAAGGGAGAGGTTTCTCGCTCTGCAAGGCCCAGAGGGCGCCTCCAGCCTCGTGGGAGGCCCTGGAAAAGGAAGCTGCAGCTAAGTCTGGTCCGGATGGCGGCACTTCCTCTCCCTTCCATCACTCAGCCCCCGCCCTCCCCACACACACACACACCACGAGGTGCCTGGTGACAGATTCACGTCACCAAGCCTGGACTTCAGCATCCTCCAGCTGTGACAGTTCCTCGTGTCACCGCTGTGGCACACTCTGTGTGAGAGGTCAGCGCCAGGAAAAACCAGCTGGCGTGTCCTCCCGTTTCTAAGCCGGGCTGAAACCCGGCCCCCGCCCCACCCACCTCAGGAGGGAGACTGGCAGGTACTCGAGGTTGTCCAGGCCTTGTCCTGAGTGTTCCCAAGCCTCCTCGGGCCATGGAAAGCGCTCATAGGAGTACGGGACCCCATTCTTTCTGTGCCATGGAGCCCGGCCTTGGTGGGTGAGCCCAGCCTTTGTTGGTTACACCCAGTGGAGATGTGGGAGTGGACCCCAACAGCCATACCTGATCTGCTCCGTGGTCTCCTCCAGGGTGCGGGTCAGCAGGGCTATCACCCCCTGGATGATCTCGAGCTCCTTTAGCAGCTCCTCCTCCACCTCATCATGCACCAGGTCGATGCCCACCCGCTGCTCCCTGCCCAGAGAAAGGGGCAGGTCGGCCACCGTGCGGAGGGAGGCAACCCGATACTGCTAACATCTGGACACTGAAAGCCATCTGGGCCGCTGGTTGGGGGAGCACGCACTCTGGGTGGACGGCCTGGCCGGGGATATTCGCTAGCTGGGTCTCTGCACCTTGAAACAAACCCAAAACGCAACGAAGAAGAACTGACCGATGTGCAATGGTACAACAAAATAGAGAAAGCCTGGCCCTGAGCATCAACCCATGCACCTAAAGGACACCAGTTTGATTCCAGTCAGGACACATGGCCAGGTTGCAGGCTGGATCCCCAGGGCGGTGTGCAGGCGACAACCCATCGATGTCCTCTCTCATCCTCTCTCATCAATGTTCTCTCTCTCTTTCTCTCTCTCTCTCTCTCTCTCTCTCTCTCTCTCGCTCATTCCCTCTCTCTCATGCTCTCTGTCTTCCTTCCTATATCTCTATCTCTAAAATCAATTTAAAAACATTAAAGAGAGAGAGAGAGAGAGAGCCCTGGCCAGTTTTGCTCAGTGGATAGAGCGTTGGCCTACAGACTGAAGGGTCCCAGGTTTGATTCCAGTCAAGGGCATGTACCTTGGTTGCGGGTACATCTCCAGTAGAGGATGTGCAGGAGGCAGCTGGTCGATGTTTCTAACTCTCTATCCCTCTCCCTTACTCTTTGTAAAAAAATCAATAAAATATATTATATATTCAAGAGAGAGAGAGAGAGAGTGAGCATGCGCGAAAGCCTGGAGCCCTGACACTGTGGCATTCCACGCCAACCCTGACCTAGCTCCAGACTCCTTAAATGGGAGAGAAGAAGAAACGATCTTATTTCAGCTCAATGTTATTTTGCGGTTTTCTGATTGCCCACAGCCAAACCCAGTCCTAACTTATATTTAAGTTAGTCAAGGGCAGAGTTTAGACAAGAACCCAGTCTAGTGCTGCGTCCACTGCCCGGCACCACGGGCATGCTGAGATAATTTCAGGCTCTAAAAGAACACATGCTCATTTGCCTCCTTCTAACCCACCAGCCAGCACACTCAGCTCTCCTGCCCAGCATTTCATTTCTCGTAACAGATGACTCGCTGGAGGCGCCTTCCCTCCTACCTGTACTCCAGGCATCTCTGGGTGATGTGCAAGGGCTCCTTCAAGCTCTCCAGGGCTTTCTGCAGTCTGGTCTGATAGGCGAGTAGGTCATCGGTTGCATACACAAGCTGCTCAAGTTTGTCATCTAACTCCTTCTTCCAGAATCTGACTTCCTCAAGTCTCTGTTCTGAAGCACACAGAGGCGTTACAGCAAGTTCATCTGCTCCCAACACAGCCAACTTTTGGATTAGAAACTTGAAGACTCCTGCAAAACTACCTGAGATTTTCTTTTCCTCTTAGAACTTCTCAGGGAGGGAGGGAAAATACTGCTTACATTCAACATCAAATTAATCCAAAGGTCATTCCACACTCATTGATTCTAACTCTTCGATGTCCACTATTTTTAAATAACTTAATTTTATCAAACATATGCATGTATTTTGCTTGAAAAGTCAAGTAGTATTACAAGAATCACAAATCTCGGACTGATCCCTATCCACTCCCACTTTCTAGAAGCAACTACTAAACACATTCAGTATTTCTTCTGCCTTTTGCTTACACTGCTGTGATTCATTATCAGTTTGAATATCTTCTACCGATTTCCCATGATGAAGGTAAGAACTTATTTGCTCTTCTATAACTTTCACAACATACTTCTGCTCCTTCCATCTTCCCAATATAGTTGTATCACCATCTTGTTAAGTAATAAAGTAATTCCTTTTGGTATTGTAAATATCTAAATATCATATACACCTGAAGCACATAGTATACTCTGATAAATTTCTTTCCTTGTACAACTTTTTGGGGTTTTTTTGGAGGGGTTAAATCATTATATTTTTGCTTTATTTTTCTATATATTTATTACTAATTTTTCTTCAAACTTTTTAACAAAACTACAGCAATGCCCCTTATCTGCAGTTTTACTTCTACGGTTTCAGTTACTTGTGGTCAACTGAGGCCTGAAAATAAATGGAAAATTCCAGGGAAAAATATCATTCATAAGGTTTGAATTGCGCACCATTCTGAAATCTCACACCTTCTCGCTCTGTCTCACCTGGGACGAGAATCACCCCTTTGTCCAGTGCAGCCACACTGTATACACCGCACTATGGTTAGCCACTTAGTAGCCATCCTGGTTATCAGATTGGCTGTTGTGGTACCACAGTGCTTGTGTTCAAGTTTGCCTTGTTTTACTCAATAATGGCCCCGACATGCAAGAGTAGTGATTCTGGCTATCAGGACATGCCAAAGAGACACCGTAAAGTACTTCCTTCAATGAAAAGATATATATTGTATGTATGTATGTATATATGTATGTACATGGGAAAATATCCAATATCATAAAATTGTCCCCTCCACCAGGAGTTCGACCAGGGGGTAGGGCCGACCAGGGGAAGGGAGGAAGTACCCAGCTGGCGGCCGGCAGCTACTAGGGGCCCTACCAGTGAATGAATTTCATGCACTGGGCCTCTAGTAGGATATATAAGGTTGGGTGCTATCCACAGTTTTAGGCATCGAATGGGGGTGGGGGATCTGGGAACATATCCCCAATGGGTGAGCAGGGACTACTGTATAAATATCCCATCAAGTAACCTATTGATTTGTTTCTTTGCTAGAGACCTTTCTCCAGGAGTGCTTTCTCCCCCAGCTCCAATCTCTAGTTGGGTGTCGTAGTTATCACCCTATGACTTTGTTTCGCCATCATTCTAGGAATTCCCTTCACTATCTCATGTGTTGGAGTCCTCCCTCCTGGATTTCATTTATTCCTCTTTCTTTTTTTAAATTCTCTCTCAAGGAGTGGGGATATTTTTTCCATTGATTTTTTTTAGAGAGAGTGGAAGGGAGGAGGGAAGGAAGAGAGAGAGAGAGAGATAGGATAGAGATAGAGATAGAGATAGAGATAGAGATAGAGATAGAGATAGAGATAGAGAGAGAGTAGAGAGAGAGAGAGAGAGAGAGAGAGAGAGAGAGGGAGAGACATTATTGTAAGAGAAACACACACCCCAACTGGGGGGCAGGGTTTGAACCTACAATCCAGGTACATGCCCATAACCAAAATTGAACTTGAGACCCCTTGGGTGTGCACTGAGCCATGCCAACCTTTCTTTTTCTTGGTTTCCTTCTTCAATGTGTTGAAACACATCTTTCAATAACTTCCTAAGAAATGGATACATGAGAGGTAAAATTTTTGAAATCTTGGAATTCTTGAATGCCTTTATTCTACCTCGTCCATCACCTATACCAATAAAAGGGTAATATGCTAATTAGACCGGGAGACCTTCCGGACAAAGCCATGATAGTAGCGGAGGTGGTTAGGGGTGATCAGGCCAGGAAGGGAGGGCAGTTGGGGGAGAGCAGGCTGGCAGTGGGGCGCAGTTGGGGGCGATCAGCCCAGCAGGGAGGGGCAGTTGGGGGAAAGTAGGCTGGCAGGAGGGGCAGTTGGGGACAAGCAGGCCAGCAGGGGGGCAGATGCGGGTGAGAGCAGGTTGGCGGGGGTCAGTTGGAGGCGATCAGGCTAGCAGGGGGGCAGTCAGGGGCAATCAGAACAGCAAGGGGGCAGTTGGGGGAGAGAAGGCTGGCAGGCAGAGTGGTTAGGGGCAATCAGGCAGTGATTAGGAGCCAGCAGTCTCAGATTCCAAGAGGGATGTCCAACTGCCAGTTTAGGCCCAATCCCTGTGGGGTCCCAGATTGGAGAGGACATGCCCCTCTCCCCCTCCCCCTATTTCCCCCGCACCTGTGCACAAATTTTGTGCACCAGACCACTAGTTTGATTATATTTGGTAGATATATAGGTTATAAATAATTTTCATTTATAATTTTGATGGTATTGCTTCATTTTTTAGTTTTCAAAGTTTCTGATGCCATTCTGATTCTGGATCCTTTGTATGTGACTTGAAAAGCTTTTAGAAATGTCTTCTCTATTTTCCTAATATCAATATTATTCAATTATTATGCCACATATTAGACATGCCTTTTTAATCTGAAAACCTAGATCTGTTGGCTCTAGGAAATGTTCTTGTATTCTCTCATGGACGATTTCTTCTTCTCTATCTTCTCTGTGCTCTTTCTGGAACTCCTATTAGCCTTCTGCTTAAGGGAGCAGAGTCAGAGTGGGTATGTAATGGCATCTCAACTGTGACTTTAATTTGTATGTCCCTGATGAATAATGAAGTTAGAGCACCTCTTCATATTTTCATTGGCTGTTCAGATTTCCTCACTTGTAAGGTGTCTGTCAAGGTTTTCCCAATTTTTTTATTGAGTTGTTTGCCTTTTTCTTCTTTATCTCTAAAAGTTCTTTATATGTTCTAACTAACATCTAAATTATTGATCTGAAGCAGCTTTGGTTTATTGAAGGTTGAAAAACTAACTACCCTCAACCCATGTTTTCTTCATAGGTGTTTTTGTTCATCCTGCCCAATGTTATAAATTTCTTGCCAACATTTTAAAAGTGGGTAAAATTTCTGCTTTCCAGGTTTTCTTTCTTTTTTTTTTTCTTTTTTTTTTTTTTTTTTTTTTAATCAGACAAAAATTTGACGATACCACCCTAACCAGTTTGGCTCAGTGGATAGAGTGTCGGCCTGCAGACTCAAGGGTCCTAGATTCAATTCCAGTCAAGGGCATGTACTTTGGTTGCAGGCACATCCCTAGTAGGGAGTGTGCAGGAGGTAGCTGATGGATGTTTCTAACTCTCTATCCCTTTCCCTTCCTCTCTGTAAAAAAAAAAAAAAAAAAAAAAAAAAAAAAAAAATCAATAAAATATATATCTTTTTTTAATTTGACAATATCAAGCTCATAATCTTTCTTGGAAAAAGACTATTTGAAATTTAGTAGCTGATTCCTTCCTTAGATGGAGCACATGTACTCCAGGCAACCACCATCTCCTCCAAGCCCTATTACCTTACAGGGTCTGATTCAACCCTTAGAAGGTCTTATTCTACCTGCCTAATCCTTATAAACACTTGAGTTTGTGACCTCTGGTTTATTATTTTTTGGCATTTGGGAAAAGTGTTTATTCTTGTTTTAGTTAAGGACAGTGTCCTTTATCATGTTTAAGAATGGAATTCCCAAGATAAAATTACTCTTCATTTAAGAATCAGTGGAAAACTTTCTCAGTTCTCTTACTTCTATACTCCTTATCCTAGCACCTACCTGGTTATATGCTGGTTATTAACATTTGCATCTTTCTCCTCCTTAAGCGAGGAGCCCTTCAAAAGTATTACCTCTGATTACCAGGTGATAGTCCCAGTACTTAGTCCAGAGATGCTCTAAGATGCTCAACTACTATGCATGGAATGAATAAATCCTAGATGATGGATGGCTGAAAATCAGACCCGGTTACCATGCTGTCTTGGGGCAGTGAACGTAGACATATTGTTTTTTCCCTACGTCTCCTGAACGTGGAATGCAAATGACAGTCCAGCTAACCCTGAACAGTTTCATCAAAACATGTTCACAAGCACACCACGTGCATCGTCTTACCTAGCTTCTTGTTCACATCGCTTTGAGACTTTCTCGTGGACTTGTCGATTTCATCCACAAGCCTCTCGCTTTCTGCCACCAGGCGTTCGGACCGCGACCTCTCTGCCTCTGCCTTGTGGTACAGGTTCTTGTTAGCGAGGTGCCACTCCGAGGGCAGGAACTTCGGTGGAGGTTGCAGTAGTTTGGCCATTTGGCCAAAGGCAGACTTCTTTTAGATTAAGTAAGATCCTGGAAAGAGAAAGCAACTTGTCCTTTTTTACATGTCCGTTTTGTAGGTGATATACATGCCAAAAAGTGCCTAAATCCTAATCTGTACACAGAATGAACACACCTGTGTAGCCCGCACCCAGATCAAGAAATAAGCATTGCCAGCACCTCACGCCTCTTCCTAGTCACTATTCTCCACCTCACCCCCACAGGGTAACCACTATCCTGACTTTTAACACTATAAGTTAGTTTTGTTGTTTTTGAACTTCATATAAATGGAATCGTACAGTATGTACTCTTTTGTATCTGACTTCTCTTACTCAACATTATGTATTCTTCCGTATTGTTCACACAGTTGTAGTTGGTTCATTCTCATTGCTGTGTAGTATACTACTGTATAAATATACCAAAATGTATCTGTCTTTTCTACTGTTTATGGGTACATGGGTGGTTTCCCGTTTGGGGCCTATCATGAGAATGCCATAAAGACTCTCCAACCTGTCTTTTGGTGAACACATTCATGTATTTTTCTGACTTATTAGAATGGGGAGTGTTCAGTTTTACTAGATACTGACAAACAGATGAACCCAGACATGTTTCTTTGAAAATGAACGCATACAATTATCTGTAAACTAGCAACTGGGTATTGAGCCTATTTAGCAGATAAAAAGATCTAAAAACTTCCCAGGACAAAGGAAAAGGAGAGAGCAATAAGGAGAAAGAACACATGAGAAGGCAGCAGGCTGAGGCCCACAGCAACAGAAAGACTAAAATCCCCTTCTTCCCCAAACTCAACAGAGCTCTGATTGGCTGTGAGAACTGTCTTTCTCAAACCTGCCCCACCCGCATCCCCACCCAAAAATGTGAGCGCCTGCCTTAGGGGTGTCTGGATCTCTGAAGTCCTTCAAACATGCAAGGATGGAACCTGGTCAGATCTTGACCAGCCTGAGCATCCCAGGAGACTCAGCGTCGACAGACAGCATGGAGTTTCCCCATTTCTTTCTAGTCCAGTCCCTCTTATGGTCTCTCCCAAATTTGTCTGAGCACTGCGCTCAAACTTAACACACAAGGCTCCTTTATAAATCTGAGAAGCCTCGGGAGAAATCGAAATTAGACCAACATTAGGGCTGAGCCGAGCAGGCATAAGACTTTGAGTAGGGCTGAGGGTTGCATGAAAGGGGTTGATGGGGTGGGGCCGGGATGTACTTACCTCCGCGCCAGGAAGAACAACTAAGGAGAGCCTCCTAATCCCAACTGGAGTTGCCCCCTCTCACGGAAGAGGGAGGTAAACAACGAAGTCTCCATGGCAACCGGTGACGCGTGTCCCCGGGCAAAGGGGGCGGGGTCTGGGCGAAGCACCTTCTCCGGAAGGCTCAGCGCAGGCGCGAATTCTCCAGTCTCCAGCGCAGGAGACACAGGATCTGGCCGGGAGCCGCGGGAGAGCCAGCTGCTCGGCCACCTCAACTTGTCGCAAAGACCTGGGACACCAGGCCGCGGGCTGGGTGATCTCGGGCCGCGCTGCTCCCGCTGGGTTTCAGATGCACAAAGTGTACCTCGAGGTCGGGCTGGACGACGCCTTAAGGCAGTGGTCAGCAAACTGCGGCTCGCGAGCCACATGCGGCTCTTTGGCCCCTTGAGTGTGGCTCTTCCACAAAATACCACGGCCTGGGCGAGTCTGTTTTGAAGAAGTGGCGTTAGAAGAAGCTCAAGTTTAAAAAATGTGGCTCTCGCCCTAACCGGTTTGGCTCAGTGGATAGAGCTTGGGCTTGCAGACTCAAGGGTCCCAGGTTCCATTCCAGTCAATGGCATGTGCCTTGGTTGCTGACACATCCCCAGTGGGGAGTTGTGCAGGAGGCAGCTGAATCAATGTTTCTCTCTCATGTTTCTAACTCTCTGTCCCTGTCCTTTCCTCTCTGTAAAAAGTCAATAAAATATTTTTTTAAATAAAAATTAAAAATGTGGCTTTCAAAAGAAATTTCGGTTGTACTGTTGATACGTGGCTCTGTGGACTAATGAGTTTGCCGACCACTGGGGCGGTTAGGAGTGGTGGTGGGCTGATGGCGGGAGCCAGCCGGAATGGTCTCTGCAGGTTCCTAATCAGGCCCTGACTTGGAGGCCAGACCCTGGGATCGCCTCCCCGTTTACAGAAGGGGATTTTCTTGGAACTGTTGGAAACATGATAGAATTGGCAAAAATACATGACATTAACTATATGAATTATAATCATAGATCAGCATTGTCGTTTTTGTCAGTATGCAAATTTAATTTTCTCTTTCCCCTTTGGGGTGGCAGGGGATAGAAAAACCTTGATGCCAAACCCAAGAAGTAAGGCTGATCAAACCATCTCTCCTTGGCTGGAGACTGCCCTCTGAAAGCTCTAAACTTGGATGGTGGTGTCCCTTTCTTGCTATGCTTTAAAAAATTAAAATTAAATTTTTTAAAAAAAAACTCTTCCTTCAGGTATTTATTCTGGAGCTTAAGTATAATGGAAAATATTTGAAATTGTTTTCAAAAGAAAAACCTTATTTTGCTTGCACAAGCACACACAAAGGAATGCGTCCAATAGAGGAAGTGTGGAACAACTTATCAATAATTACTCAGTGTCTGTTTGGCACCAGGGTATGGCTGACTGGCATGGAAAGCAGTTATCAAGCACAGAGCTTAGAGTTTGCTATATTAGTAAGAACAACCAAAGCTTATCTTCAAAGTAGAAATATGTAAGTAAAGTACATGAGGTTTTTAAGTGATTTTGAGGTATTTTTGGTTGGAATAAAGTTATATTTCCCAAACTTCAGTCATTCTAGTACCAACTTTTTTTTTTTTAATATATTTTACTGATTTTTTTACAGAGAGGAAAGGAGAGGGCTAGAGAGCTAAAAACATTGATGAGAGAGAAAAACATTGACCAGCTGCCTCTTGCACACCCCCTACTGGGGATGTGCCCACAACCAATGTACATGCCCCTGACCGGAATCGAACCTGCGACCCTCCAGTCCACAGACCGACGCTCCATCCACCAGTCTCGGCTTGTACCAACTTCTTAATGTTATTATTGTTGTTGTTAATCCTCACCTGGGGATTTTTTAATTTTTATTTTTAGAAAGAATGGTAAAGGAAGAGACAGAGAAACATCAATGTGAGAGAGACACGTTGATTCGTTGCCTCCCACATGTTGGGGTTGGGGATCGGGTCTGGGTATTAAGCAGGGGCCAAGGTACATGCCCTTGACCAGAATCAAACCTGTGATCCTTCAGTCCAAGGGCCAATGCTCTAACTACTGAGCAAACTGGCTAGGGCCAACTTCTTAATTTTTTACATACCCATACACCACCTGCAAAATTGGTGTTTTTTGTATACACTCATTTTACATATAAACATACTATTTTTAAAGAAGACTTTACATCCCTACCATAAATGGAAAACTAGCATCTAGTTGCATGATAGAGAGTAACCATAAAAATAATATGAAATAGAACAATATCCTAAAATTTGATATTGATTAAGAACAAAGATAAAAGTAATGTTAAATCTAACCTTTTGATTTGTTAAACTCACATCTTCAAGCAAGTTTCTCCATAAGAATGAGCTTATAGATTTTTTATTTGATTTGTTATTTTAAGACTATGTACTTCCGCCGAAACTGGTTTGACTCAGTGGATAGAGCGTCGGTCTGAGGACTGAAGGGTCCTGGGTTAGGTTCCAGTCAAGGGCATGTGCCTTGGTTGCGGGCACATCCCTGATGGGGGGTGTGCAGGAGGCGGCTGATCGATGTTTCTCTCTCATTGATGTTTCGGGCTCTCTATTCCTCTCCCTTTGTCTCTGTAAAAAAACACAAAATGATTCTCTCTTGATGTTTCTAACTCTCTATCCCTCTCCCTTCCTCTCTGTAAAAAATCAATAAAATATATTTTAAAAAGAAACAGTGGAACCAAGTGAGCTGTATGATGAAAAGAAGCCTCTGTGTCATAGCCATATAACTGGAACACAATCAGTTCAAATTGCAACTGCAAGAAGTGTTCTTGAAGAATATCTTTAAAAATTTCAGAAACGATGATTCATAACCCAGAAGTATAACCACATACTCCTGGTGAGTTGAAATTACATCTCAAGACAAATAAAAATTCCGAGAAAATTAAAAAGCTGTACAAGAAAGTTACAACTATGAAGAAGCTTTAAATGTGGTGTGATTTTTTTTTTTCAGAGTAACATATGAACCATAAGAGATGTTCGGTGCCAAGTGTAACCACCCTTTTCATGAAGATGTTCCTGACCACCCAGCTGAACTCATGTGTCTCTAAATCATTCACTGATTCATTCCACAAAAACTTGTTGCTCACTGTCTGAACTTATTCTCTGAACTCACTGACTCATTCATTACTTTTCCCAAGTGTTTTTTTGAACATCTTCTAAGTTCTGGGACCTGTGCTTCACACTGAGGATGGTCCCTGCCTTTTTATGGAATTTATGGGGACACTTTTCACCTGTAAAATGTATAACTAGGAATTTTTTTATATTTTTATATGGAATAACCACCCAGATACATTAAATGAAAAAAAAAAAAGGTTCAGAAAACTATATAGAGTATTCTGTCATTCTTTTGATAGAAAAAGTAAAATGTACTTCTTTGTATACACAAAGAATTTCTCTAGAAAGATACATAAAAAACTGGTAGCATTGGGATTGCCCCTCCTAAGGGATCTACATGGCTGGGGGTCAGAGGGGAAAGATTTCACTGAATACTTTCCTACCATTTGAGAAGTGTACATTAACTCTTTTTAAAAATATAAAAGCTTTTTCAAACTATATTACAAAGCCACTGTTCTCAAAACAGCCTGGTACTGGCACAAGAACAGACATATAGATCAATGGAATCGAATCAAGAACCCAGATATCAACCCAAATCACTATGCTCAATTAATATTTGACAAAGGAGGCACGAATATACAATGGAGTCAAGACAGTTTCTTCAATAAATGGTGTTGGGAAAATTGGACAGACACATGCAAAAGAATGAAACTAGATCACCAACTTACACCATTCACAAAAATAAACTCAAAATGGATACAGGACTTAAACATCAGACGGGAAACCATAAAAATACTAGAAGCATCCACAGGCAGCAAAATCTCAGACGTATGTCAAAAGAACTTCTTCACTGATACTACCCCTAGGGCAATGGAAGCTAAAGAGAAAATAAACAAATGGGACTACATCAAAATAAAAAGCTTTTTTACAGCAAAAGAAACCATCAACAAAACAACAAGAAAGCCCACTGTCTGGGAGAACATATTTGCAAATGATACCACTGATAAAGGTTTAATCTCCAACATCTACAAACAGCTTATACAACTAAATAAAAGGAAGATGAATAATCCAATTAAAAAATGGGCAATGGACCTAAATAGAACATTTTCAAAAGAAGACAGAAGGAAGGCCAAAAGGCACATGAAAACATGCTCAAAGTCACTAATTGTCCGAGAGATGCAAATCAAAACAACAATGCGGTACCATCTCACACCTGTCAGAATGGCCAACATCAACAAGTCAACAAACGACAAGTGTTGGTGAGGTTGCAGAGAAAAAGGAACACTCGTGCACTGCTGGTGGGAATGCAGACTGGTGCAACCACTGTGGAGAACAGTGTGGAGTTTCCTCAAAAAACTGAAAATGGAACTCCCATTTGACCCAGTAATCCCACTCCTAGGAATATATCCCAAGAAACTAGAAACACCAATCAGAAAGGATATATGCACCCCTATGTTCATAGCAGCACAATCTACAATAGCCAGAATTTGGAAACAGCCTAGGTGCCCGTCAGCAGATGATTGGATCAAAAAATTATGGTACATCTACACAATGGAATACTATGCTGCCATAAAAAAGAAGGAATTCTCATCATTTGCAGCAACCTGGATGGAATTGGAGAACATCATGCTGAGTGAAATAAGCCAATCAATGAAAGAGAAACACCACATGACCTCACTCATTTGTGAATGATAAAGAACATTATAAACTGATGAACCAAAAGATAGATATAGAGACAGTATATCGACAAGTAGACTGTCAAATTACAGCGGGAAGGGGAGGAAGATCTGGGAGAGATAATAGATCAACCGAAGGACTTTTATACATGCATATAAGTACAACCAATGGACACAAAACTCTGGGGAGGGAGGAGATGTGTGGGAGGGAGGGAGGGGGGCAAAAAAAAAATCAATAAAACATATTAAAAAATAAATAAATAAATAAATAAAAAAAATATAAAAAAAAAATAAAAATATAAAAGCTTTTTATAGTAATTAGGTATACAGAAGACATAAACAGGGCAGTGAGAAGAAATGAAGGTGTGGAGAGAGCTGGGCAGAGGTAAGTTGTTATTTTGACACTAAAAGAATCCTGAAGGAA